GGGCCCCCCCCCCCCCCCCACTCCCCTCCTGGGAATTCTACTGTGGATTCCGGATTCCAGGTACTGGATCAGTGGAATATGGATTCCGGACTCAATCGTTATTAGTATTCCGGAATCCTTTAGCTGTATTTTGGATTCCAAAGCCCAGGATCCCGGATCCCACAAGCAAAAATTTACCCACTGACAATAAATAAAATCTAATACCTGGATCCGAAATCCTCGGTGTCGAATCCAGAATCCAACACTGTCTTGAATTTCCTTGTATGGGGTGAGGACTATCCGTTATTTAAGGTTGGTTTCCGACTCGGGTTGTTTGCGTTATTTATTCACAGTTCAATGCCGGGCTGTCCAAACATTGTAAACGGCACACTGTCCAACCTTTCGAGTATCTAAAATCGGGATTTTTAAATCATCGATGAATGACGCGAGCGCTGAAGGCGTGAGCCTCTTAGGGGGAGGGGGGAGGGGGGAGGGTTTGTTCCCCCCAGAAAATCTTGAAATCTTGATTCTCTGAAGCTTTTTTCTAGTTTTCTAAGAAGAGAATTTCTGTCTAAAATGTTCGCCAAATCGATTTTCATTATTATGCCTATTTTTATTTGCCAGGCCTCCTGTGCAAGTACTCGATTTTATTTTATATTTTGTGCAGTTTTTAAAGTTTTCTGTATATTAGTCTCAGTTAAGTATACTCTTTTACTAGGTGTTCTTGTATAAATATCGTAAGAATTCATTTGAAAATATCAGAACAGATGTCAAAATCGGGATTTTTCCTCTCCTGGTCGCATATTGGTAGGGATTCGGGAGTTTCAAGCAAAATCAGGAGAATTCCGACGAGATCGGGATGGTTGAACAGTCTGAAACGTCAACAACTTTAAAGTCGGTTATGGCAGCCCCTCGACTGACAAAATCTACATAATGTCTGATCGGCAATTGAAACTACAAAACTTACTTCAAATTCCCTTAAACTAAACACACTCTCGTCTTCATACATTTTCCTAAATTCAGGCCCGAGGGAGGAATTTGATAGCCTGCGAGTAAGGTGTCCGTTTCAAGTGGCGACCGAAGCAAGTTGCGCAAGACGATGGCGCGTGATTCGTCACGTTATCCCTCAAATGGAGAGATTGCTTTCAAGCAGTAATTTGAAAGCGAGAGGGCCCGATGTTTGGCAACCTCGTTCCCAGGGTTCTCTCCTACCCGCCCTACGGAGCGGGTAGGAGAGAACCCTGGGAACGAGGTTGGATGTTTGGTACTGGTGAAAGCGTACTTTTAATACTGTTTTGTCCCCGTTCCTGTAGGGGGGCCATGGTTATCCCCCCTGGATAATTAATTACATCTTCTTATAATTAACTTTGGGGAAAGGGGAGCAGGGCACTTGCCCACTCGCTCCCCTACTCCTCCGGGGTCATGATTGCATAGTATTTGAAGTCCCTTTGTACTATATGCCATTCGCACAAAAATGGATGTCTGCTCCATTTAAGCGCTTCCATCTCAAAGACTTCATCGAGTCACGTTATCAAACTGACCGGATAGTACAAGGAAATTTTATTTGACAGTTCCGGTTCAAATTCCTCACCCTACTCAGCCAAAAATCAAATACCCGAACTACTGGGAATACCTTCCGCGTCAAGTTCCCTACTCCCTTGGCACAAGTAATGGTCAAATGCCCAGGGTATGCCCGGGAAAATTTTGAAGTTGCGAATTGATTGGTGTGTTACATCGATCGGTGTACAAATCGCGTCTTCAAAATATTTGCTTGTTCCTCGAAAAAATGGGATATTTAACAATTATTCCTCCAGCTCGAATGGGCTCTGAGTCGTTCTCGCGCAACTTTAGCTAGCAAAGCGCGATTCAAACGCCATTGTTTTAGTTTTCAAAGCCGGCGCTTTTCGCTACTAGTGGGCTATAACATATAGCCTAGTAGTAGCTTACCCAATCAAAACGCAGCATTGACAATAGACCACTAGTTGGATTTTACTAAAAAAAGAATATTTACTTAGTTTAGCAAACAGCAAATAGCAATTTTTGTCCATCGGATAGTGGTATTTTTGTTCTTCTTGCTTTAATTTTAGGCAGTATGATAAAAAATAAAACACAAAAAGCCGTGATAAACATTGTCAGCTTTCGCATTTTTAAAAACTTCAGCGAACTTGACGTTTTGAATGCTATTTATTATGCAGCAGTAATTAGGCTATTGCTTTTTCCAAAACATGTAAGATGTTTCGCCATTTTCTCTAGGTCTACCAAAACAGCTGAACTACCGCGCCTTCTACTAATCTCCTGTCCCCTTTTCTGAACAATTGTGGCAGTTATCTTCCAATTTTGGTCAAATTATTGAATAATAAACTACTCTAATTAAATTTTTGTTCTGACAGATAATGCCCTTTTGGAAATGGTCTTCAGAGAAAGAAGCAGAGGAAGCACTGACCAAAAAACTTCGTGAATATTTTGTTAAGAATGTGAAGATTGCCGAAGCAGACCAGAGGCGCTCGCAAGAAGCCTAGTGAGGGANCGAAAAAATGGGATATTTAACAATTATTCCTCCAGCTCGAATGGGCTCTGAGTCGTTCTCGCGCAACTTTAGCTAGCAAAGCGCGATTCAAACGCCATTGTTTTAGTTTTCAAAGCCGGCGCTTTTCGCTACTAGTGGGCTATAACATATAGCCTAGTAGTAGCTTACCCAATCAAAACGCAGCATTGACAATAGACCACTAGTTGGATTTTACTAAAAAAAGAATATTTACTTAGTTTAGCAAACAGCAAATAGCAATTTTTGTCCATCGGATAGTGGTATTTTTGTTCTTCTTGCTTTAATTTTAGGCAGTATGATAAAAAATAAAACACAAAAAGCCGTGATAAACATTGTCAGCTTTCGCATTTTTAAAAACTTCAGCGAACTTGACGTTTTGAATGCTATTTATTATGCAGCAGTAATTAGGCTATTGCTTTTTCCAAAACATGTAAGATGTTTCGCCATTTTCTCTAGGTCTACCAAAACAGCTGAACTACCGCGCCTTCTACTAATCTCCTGTCCCCTTTTCTGAACAATTGTGGCAGTTATCTTCCAATTTTGGTCAAATTATTGAATAATAAACTACTCTAATTAAATTTTTGTTCTGACAGATAATGCCCTTTTGGAAATGGTCTTCAGAGAAAGAAGCAGAGGAAGCACTGACCAAAAAACTTCGTGAATATTTTGTTAAGAATGTGAAGATTGCCGAAGCAGACCAGAGGCGCTCGCAAGAAGCCTAGTGAGGGACTGCATTAAGGATAAGATCATTGAATATTGCAAACAGAACTCGTCTCTTCCAATCTTGAGAATTGAATACACTGGAAGCGTGTATGAGAGGCTTAAAACGAATGCTGCCGATGAAGTGGATATTATGGTAGTCCTGAAAACCCATAAGCCATTGCATGCTATGGGGTGATCCGGAAGTTCTGGTTAAAGATGTAGGTAGAGCTGGGTATGCGCTACTCAAGGCAAGAGATGACTCCAAACTTCTGAGATACGCCAATTCTGAAGGGTACATTGATCCGAAGCGGCTCCGAAATGGCTGGTTTTGTAGTCTTGTTGATCGAGCAGTAAGTGCTTTTAACAGACATGCAAATTCAGATGTCAGGTTAAAAGTACGTTATCACGGGCCTGCTGTTCAAGTCGATATCACAGAAGAACAAAATGATGTCTTACTGTTATCAGTTGATCTCGTTCCTTGTTTCGAAATTGAAAAAAGTCAATACTTCGTCCCAAAATCGAGTGACCCAGTGCACGATCCATTCTCCAGTCTCCTCTGGAGGCAATCGTTTTTACTTGATGAAAAGGCACTGTTGCAGCGCTTGGATAAGGATGACCATGGCTGCAGACACGAGCTGCTAAGAATCGTAAAAAGCATCGTCAAGTGGCAGAGGACATCACTCGGGGCTTTGGAATCTTACCACGTGAAGAGTGCCTTTGTACATTACATTAAAAAAAATCTAGACGATTGGGATAGCCGGAGCTGTCGATTCCTTGGAAAACACTTTCTAGGTTTTCTTAGGGAACTTCAGTCCTTCCTTGAGGAAGGAAACCTTCCAATCTATTGGCTGCCAGAGGTTAACCTGCTGGAAGAAATAAATCCAGTAGTGCTTAAAAATATGGCGAATCGTCTGAAGAGAATTCTCAATAGTGAAGCAGAAATTGATCGCATTCTCTCTTCCAGAATACACTTGGAATGCTTAATTGATGAGGATGAGATATTTAATTTACATTACACTTCTCATCTTGAAATGCCGCAATTAGATGCAGATGGTGAAGAAAGGTCTTTTCTCCAGGCGTTTATTCTATCAGGCGTAGAGTTAGTGGTTGAATCAGTGCAGGATGTTTTAAATTTTGCTATCGTTTGTATTAGTTTTGTTTTAAAAGTTTTCAATGTCATATTATTTTGTTTTCTGACGTTACTAGCAATCACTGTAATCATTGAGGTTGTAAAGAAGGCCAAGCTTCAGCTTAGTCTTGTAACTTACAAGGTCCCCTAAGTCGGATGGAAGCTGTAGATCATGCGAAATGGAAACAATAAAAAAGACTGAGACTATACGTTTTATTTAGTTTTTGATGCAAAGTCTCGCATGCACAATTTCATAAATGAAAGGCAACAACTTAAACAACATCTTATGGTTATGTTCACACTATGCAAAGCCGGATAGCTTTTGCGCGGGCAAGATACCTTACTGGATAGAGCTTCTATTCACATAATTAAGAACGCCGGGTTGATTTCCGGCACGAATTCTGCGGATTGCCATGCTACGCGGCGCGGGCTAGAGGTTTCACCTCTCAATGTGTAGTCCATAGGCAAAATTCTGATCTCCACTCCAAATTTTCACTAGGCCGCTGGGATTGGTAAATGAAACACGTCAATCTTTGTGATCATCCTGTTCACTTGATGTTGACTGCTCTCTTGTGACATTGCAGTTTCCTTTATCTAGACTGAAGATAACCTATGGCCACTCCTGCTATTAAGAAAATCCTAAGCGGAAAGGAACCGACAAGGGCTAGAGCTTTCCTCAAACGCCTACATGGTGGATTGAACCAGCCACTGGAGTCGACCGAAACCGATGAACCAGCGCCAATAAAACTAGAGGTAAACTGTGTTCTTAAACAAAGGTTTATCGTGGGAAAACAGTCACACAAGGCCACATGGGCCAAGCAAAGGCCTAGTGCACATAACAGGCGCAAGTAGGTCAATACTTCGTCCCAAAATCGAGTGGCCCAATGCACGATCCTTACTACAGTCTCCTCTGGAGGCAATCGTTTTCACTTGAAAAAAAAGGCACTCTTGAAGCGCATGGATAAGGATGACCATTGCTGCAGTCACGAGCTGCTAAGAATCGTAAAAAGCATCGTCAAGTGGCAGAGGACATCACTGGGGCTTTTGGAATCTTATCACGTGAGGAACGCCTTTGTGCATTACATTACAAAGAATTAAGATGATTGGGATAGCCGGAATTCCCGATCTCTTTGAAAACACTCTCTAGGTTTTCTTAGGGAACTTCACTCTTTCCTGGAGGAAGGAAACCTTCCAATCCATTGGCACCCTGAAGTTAATCTGCTAGATGAAAAAAACCCAGTGGTGCTTGAAAATATGGCAAATCGTCTGAAGAGAATTCTGAATAGTGAAGCAGAAATTGATCTCATTCTGTCTTCCAGAATAAACGGGGAATCCGTAACACAAGAAACATCGAGTTATATATCTCACCTCATTGTGCCTGTAAATACAGATGGTGAAATGTCGACGCACCAGATATCGATTTTTTCAGTTTGGACTATTGCAGGTGTTTTTAAAGTTTGTTGCTGCTTGTATAAGTTTAATGTTAACTTTGGCGTCTGTCGTATTATTTTGTTTTCTAATAGTGACATTTTTTGCTATAATTATTGTGGTTGTGGAAAAGTCCAAGCCGTTTTCAGGGTAGGTTTTGAAACAAATGTTTACAAAAAAAGGCCCAGTTAATTGGACAGTAGCTATTATAAATTATGATAAATGAGACTGCAGACAACGTGACCTCAGAGTTAAGCTCTAAACCACAAAGATTATTAGTTTTTCATTGGATATCCATCTTTCACATTAATTAGTTTGAATTTTATTAGTATCTTGTTTTTTATTTTATTTCCGGTCTGGTAATTTGCTTTATTTCATCACTAGTTTCAAGTTGTTTCAAGAGAGAATGAGGTTGCTTTTAACTGGGCCCGAAGTCAGGTAGATTGGGCTCCCGGCTACAAGGCTCCTGCGGGGCTTCGGCCATTTCTCCACCTCACCACCCATTTAGGACCATTTAGGCCCCTGATTTGTAACTCTAGTAAGTCATTCACATAATACCCCCCGACTTACAACAGATACAAGGGGGGGCTCATCCACCCCACCACTACAAAAACTTTTTCGTCGATATGACACGTGCGATGCTTTGCTTAAAACGACGTCACTTCTTTTATGTCAAAATGCGATTTTTAAATCTAAATTATTATTGTTAATAATTATTTTTTCGTTCATTTACTTATTTACTTTTGTAAAACAGCACAAAAATCAGAAAAGTGGTTAATCGTGCATAGAGGAAGAATGATGCTAGAATATTATTAGAAAAGCGTCTATCAAACTTGTACTCTTCCACTCTATAGCGACGTATGTAGGCCAATATACAAATCTCACGTAAAATCTCCTAATTATGTTTCCGGAAATTCCCTATTTTTTTCTAAATATATCCAAAATACCCGGCTTCATTTTTATAAATATTAAAGTAAAAACATAAAATGTATCGTGTCATCTAAAATGGCAACACATATTTCAGGAGATGATGTTCTTACAGTATGTATACAACTAAATTCTGAACAATTTAACATATAAATTGACACTTACACTGCAAAGGACCGCAGACGAACGTTCTGTGGCATATTCGTTTGCGGTCCTTTGCAGTTTGTCAATTTATTTCCTATTTTGGGGTTTTATGTCTTTTATAAATCCGTTGTAGTTTATAGATCCTTGTAGTATTTTTCGTATTTTCGGGGTGCATTTGTTTTGTCTGCAAGTGTGCTTATGAAATGCTCAAGTGATTATGTAGTACATAATTACTTGTAATTGTTGCTCTCTCAGACTCAATCCATTCTTCATTTCCTGTGGCATATTTTTTATATATTTTTCCTCGAAAACTTTCAAAGATCTCTAAAAAAAAATACCCATAGATTTCATGTTTTTGTGGCATATATAAAAGCGTGTCCCCGCGATCAGTTTAACATGAGACATCGCGCTAATTAGTAAACCTCACGTAGTAAAAATTTTTTCGCTTTTGTTGAGGCAGCTGAACATTGCTACGATGCATTTCTTCCTTGATAAATAAAACTATGAGTTTGGAAATCAAACCATAGAAATGTATTGCTTTGCAAGTGAAAATCAGATTTATACAGGAACGGTGGTTTTTGGCGTTGAGACTTAAAAGTCTTTTTAAAGACTTTTAAAAAAGGTCAAGAAAACCTAGTGCTGAAAAATCTACAACTAAAAATCCGCGTAGAAAACGTCAGATTTTTTGTCGTGAAGAACATTTTTTGTAGAAAAGTACGGTATTCAAAGCACCAACGAAATTGCTCTTAAAAGGACTGTAACTTCACGAGAGGTCTCGATTTTGATGCGCCCAGGCAACCAGGCTATTGTTCAGCGAATGCACGCATGCGCACGCAAAATGCCCCCCTGTTTATATTTGCATACGCGTAAGTGGACCGCTTCGCAAGGAGAGCTTGAGATATAAAAACAATTTACCAACGCCAGGTAAGAATTTTGCTACGTTTTCAGTCTATGTTACTTTCATATTCTAGCGAAAAATAAACCTTGAAAAAGAATTTGTTTTCGTTTGGATAGAACAACAGCATGATTTCCGCAACAACATGGCGAAAATTTGTGAAACAGAGGTTAATCGTTTAATAAAGGGCTGCATTTTGAGTCCAATCTAACTTCGAGGTAACAGAACGATTCGAATAAAGATCTTAAATGCTCAAATTCTAGTCTCTTTATGGCTTAATGTTTGAATTTAGCTTGACCATATTTGATGGCGAGGTTTACTTTTCACATTAAGTCAGGATACGCCTGATAGGTCCTGATAGTTTTGTCTTTCGTTCGTGTTGGAGACAAGAGATCTAAAATCCTATGTATGATAAACTAGATGCATTTGAATTATGGCCTCAATTTTATACAAAAAAGTCTACTAATAATACGGTCATCGTCAACAGTCACCACAGACTGTAAACAGTCTCTCTTTTGCTAGAAAATCTGCGAGCAAGTGCAATATGTGAGTATGCGAGCGGCGAAGCCATGCGCAACGAGTTGTGGTCCAGCAAGCACACAAAGAATTACAACAGAATCTGTGTGTATACGGCTCAGTGTGCTGTTGAAAATTTACAGTGTAAATAGTCCTCTCTGTGTACGGTTGTGTTTTCTGAAGCGTTTTTGATTAGAGTTGACCGGGAGTGCGTATTCTTGGTTTGCAACCACTTGACAAGGCGGCTTTGCTGGTGATCAAAACAACAGATTTTTTTCTCGAGTAATTTACGTTAAAATGGTGTTTAGTTCCCAGAGCAGAGAAATGGTTGTGTTCTTGATCACCAACATATGGCCAACGTGGCATCACGTGCAAACGAGTTGAAAGAACGTGGGTGTGTTTGTGTGGGTGTGTGTGTGCGTTGGGGGGGGGGGGGGGGCAGAGGGGGGAGGGGGGGGGAAATTGGGGGGGG